CAATTCATGTGAATATGACTGAAAATTTTCATTTTTTATGAAAAGGTGGTGTCTATTTACTTGTGACCATGCTGTGTACATAATTTCAAGTTATATTAACACTCATCAACCTAGTCTATAATAACTGAGAATTCTATCAAAAACAGTTTAGATTTTGTTTATAAGTACACCTTTCATAGTGCAATAAGATTTTAAACTATATAGCTTTACAGTTATACTTAGCACTCGGGTGATTGTTTGTTAAATTTTTCACAAAGCTACTCAAGGGCTATCTGTACTAGCCATCCCTAATTTTGAGATGATAGACAAGACGGAAGGTAATTCAGCCAATACCAGTCTCTGCCAGTTTGTGAACTACTCTAATGAATAGTGAAAATTGACTGTCACTCTTATAATGCATCCGCAGCTTAGATATATGGTTATCTGAGTAAATATGTTCCATACTTCAGTTTAATTGTTTATGCAAGTTTATCATCTTCAAAATTATGTAACTCAATCACTGCAATATGTCATAATTTTATTTTAATTATTTTATCTATCTGTCTATCTCAAGGATGGGTTTCCTGGTAAAAACGTTAATATTTAATTTTGACTGGTTGGAACTGCTTCTTGCATTCAATTCTTGTAAGTGTAAAATACTGCAAGAAAATATATTGTATGTCCAAATACGTCACATCTGATGAAGATAAATCAACCATTATCTCATGTTTGCATTAGTTAGATCCATCATATATGAATATAAGCCATACTATACCTCCAAATACTAAAAAACTTATTAACATCAGAATCAAGAATATTCCCATCAGTGTCATGGAAATCGTTGGTTGGATCTTTATCAAATATTCCACATAGTCCACGAGTGTGACCAAAGTCCAAACCAGGAACTCTCAAGACAATGGAAATTCCCCATTTCTCAAAAATGGCACGAACAAAAGAACCAGACTGAAACAAGACCTAAAAACCAATGGCAAAAAAGAACAAACAATGAAAAATGGTAAGTCATATTTTAAGAACAAACTTCAATTTTTGCCATATAATTTATATTTTCATATATGTATCAATAAACTAATTAATAAAACTCCAGCTATTTTTCCGTATATTTGCACATATTATTTCCATCTTTTTATCTTGCTTGGAACTGCCTGTGTACATGTAGCTATTCTTGGTTGAATGCATTTAGTTCATTTCCTTAATTACAGTGTTATAGATTATGTAATTTCAAAATGCATAACTTATAAACCTAAGGGATTTTTATCAATATAAGCTGATACAAGTTAATAAACAACATCTGAGTGTTTAGAAAAACAGAAATTTTTAGTTGGAACCAAAAAAAAAAACTTCTCAAAAATACACAAAAGTTCAATAATAGTAAAAGGCAAAACATCATTTTTCATTATAATTTTTCAATATTTTGTGTTTTCTTTTTTAGTTTGAAAATTTTTGATGCAATAAAGTATCTTTTTTTATATTAAAATTACATGAAACATGCACAATTAGGCACTATCTAGTCTTTGTCAAACGTGAACACTTGATCTTTCACAAACTAGAGATACAATTATATTTAGTTTTTTGGATAACAAGTCTTTTTGGATTATTCCTTAGTTCACAATGAAAGATGTACTTAAATAACGAAAAAGGGTCTATTACATGATAATAAATTCTACTTGTTGGTTGAGCTGATCTGCACAAAAGCAAACAATAAAATTGGGGCCAAGTTATTAACACTTGTCATCCAAATGAACCAGACTCAGAAAGAATTCAGTAAATTACAATTTTTGCATCCTATTGGTTATAAACATTCCAACAGCAAATATCGGAGAGAATTACCGGTGTTTTCTGAAATGCAGAATGTGACAGGAGCGAGTGGCATATGGGTTTGATTTTCTTGTTTACATCTCAATAAAGCAAAAAGATTGATGGCTATAAATTTACATTAGGACTTAGTAATATCTGTATTATAACTGTGTAGCTTTTTCCAAACTCAGAAGATCATACAAGGGTAGAAAGAAAATATAAAATGGGTAATTCAAAGAAGTGAAGACTGAGAATTCATTGAAATATTTCCTTTTAAAATTAAGAAATTAAAATTTATATAATATTAACATTTGAGTTATAATCTACATATTTATGCTAAGTTTATTGATATAAATTGATAATAAAGTTGGTCAATCAAATTTTGAGTGTAACTCTGTAAAATGTTGTGACATGAGCAATTTGATTTTTGATATCTCACTGCATACACAGGTTTAAAGTTTTGTGAAAACATAGATTATAAAGTACGTCTTTTTTCACAGTGCCCATACTTTCATGAACAACACAGCCACAAAAAACAAGACTACAGAGCTTCTGTAAAAATAGAGAACATTGCATGTACTACTAGTAACTACTTCATAACTGAATTATACACATCTTACAGTCAAAATTTTCCCTTGTTTTGACTTGATAATCTTTGCTTCAGGTTCTGTATTTCCCAAAGATGTCATAAAAATACTGGGTGTAGTATTGAGAAGTTTGGGACCACATACATCCACTCTAACCAGGTCATTGTTTTCCAGAGCAGCGAAACCACAGTTACATGATACAGATTTATGAGAACTATCACAGAGCCATGTACGTGCATGAACCTGTGAGATAAACACTTTTAATAAGTCGTCACTTAAATAACTTAACTATTAAAAAATACCTTTGCTGTAGTTATGGTTCATTTGTAAAATTTATTTTACATTCATTACAGTATATACAAATTAATACAACTTAACATGAATGATCTTAACTCTATGAAAAGTTCACATCTAACTCCATTTTCAATATATAAACATTACATTTATAACACAAATGAAACTTAAAATGAGTCAGTAACAAAAGGAGTTTTATAACAGCTAATTAATTTCATCTAAAGACACAATTAGAATTAAAATATGGTATTATAACTTACCCTACCTCAAAATTACGAAGAGTATTTCTGTACAAAACAAACGTTCCAGTTTTGTAGTAATCAAACCTCCTATTAACAATATAAAATATAAATAAGTTCTTTTGGAAAAATATCACAACTAGTAATATTACAAATATCACCCTTTATAGATTCAACTGATCTGATAATTCCTCTAACATTGGAGTAAAAACTTGTCATAATTTTATGTATGTATTTAATACTTGTTTTATGGATATTATGGAGAGCAGAAATAGTCTTTGTGAATATTTTGTTTTTACGTACAAGATTTTAGCACTGTATTTGGATTTTCATACTAACTGTTTCAAAAGTCAAATTCTGACAACACTAAGCTTTTTATTAACCATGTAATTACATATTATAGAATCTAATTTAGATTTTAAAACTAAATAATTTTACTACACATACTTACAAGAAAAAATACACAGAAAATTAGGAATTTTTTAAGCATTAATTATTTGCATACAGCATTTTCGAAAACATTACTGTACTCATAAAAACTACATTCTAACAAAATGAAAACATCTTTACATATACAATATATAAAAATGTATATCTTTATATACATTTTTAAAGTATGATATTACTTTCTTCAAAAATACGAATATACTCTTGTCTCATGCAGTTACCTTCAGGTTATGAATTTTAAAGAAAATGCTTAAGTTACACTCAGATCAAACTGTGGTAAATATGCTTATATAGCATTCTATTTACATTTCTTATATCTATTTGAAAACTTATTTTTTTTTACTACAACAAAAAGGATCAACTATCTTCCTACAAATAATCAGTGTGAAATTAAAACTGAATTATACCAAACCATGAACAAACAAGAGAAATGAAAACTGTACATTCTGTTTTTATATATAACTACAGTGATTTAATTTAACTAATTCTCATAAACGAATTTATTTAAAGCAGAAACACATTTTCAACTCATGAAAATCAAAGGAGTAGAAAATACTAGTTAGAAACAGTTGTCAAAACCACAGAAAATATAATACAACTTATGTAATATAATACATGCTCAATAAAGTGAGTTATGGTCTCAGTTTAGGAATAACCAGTCTCATATTTATAAGAAAACTGCATTTATCATAGTCCTTAGTTAAAACATATAAAACACATTGAAGAGATAGCCATGTCACAGTTACCCAAAGTATGTTCAACTTATGTTTAATCTGATTGGTGCTTTGGTATCTGCATGTTTACTTATGAGTATGTACCTATCTCACAGACATATCAGATAATTCCTACAAATTAAAAAAACAAGTGAATAAACACAAACTTCCATCTCACCACTGCATTAACTAACTTCCCAATAGTCATAAATTCTTGGGATATGAATGTTTGTTCTGACATTAGGAGCATGATTCAATAATTGTCACACAACAAAACTGGTAAAAATTTTTTATCAAGACAAAAAATAACCACTTCATTAGTATAAAATCTCACCTAGAGTCAAATGTAATGTAATGTGGTTCGGTGAATGAATAGCACCAGCCAAAGGGAATATCTTGAATGGTGACCTGAAGTATTCATTGAAGAAGTAATACTTTAACTGTAGTGATATGTAATAAGATATAAGCTATTTGCATTATTTATATAATAGATTACAAAGGCAAGACTACTGATCAGTTATTTGTAACTTAATGCATTATAGTACAAGTATGAAGCTGTGAATATAAAATCACTAAATGTATTAATAAATGATAAATATGCAACATAATACAAATAAAAACTTCAGTGTGCCACAATAAAATACAGAACATTTATATACATTCTACTTGTATACTTTTGTCTTATATTTTACGCATAGTGTAATACACAACAATCATTTTTACTTCTATCATCAACATTTGGAATTATTGGTGTATATTAGTAAAATGACAAGTGTTTTCAATTGACTTAATCAATACTGTTAAACTCATACAAGTATATATATATGTATATATATGTATTTATTCCTTTGGTGTGTCACACATAAACATAATTTGTATTTGTATAAATATTGGTAAAACAGTTGCTAGTTGATATTAATGATATATTATCCTGATGATGAACTGGCTACTGCCATCTGAAACATGTAGATTGTTATTTTTTTATATAATATGTTTTTTTATTTATATATGTATTCTTGCTTATAATTACATAGGTATGTGGATTTTTAATATAGTGGTTTCTTTTTATACTTGTTTATATACTTAATACAGTTAGGAATATATATCAAAATTGTTTCCCAAAATCACACTGATTTTTTATTTTAATTAATCAGATGTAAATTACTTTATGTGCAAAAATTTTTCTTCAGTGGTGTTTGGCAAATGCACAAAATATGTATAGGTTCAAGGTTATTATATACAAAGTCGGTATTAGTACGTGGAACAGTCTGTATGGCAAACTTAATGTATAATATACAAGCTAATATTTTGCATGCTGACATAAGTGACAGGTCCACGTCAACTATGTCTGACCACTATGCTCTTTTGACTTCATTCTTGCTCACTACTGATATAGAACTTTTGGAAGAAAGGGACCTACTACCATATTATAACACAGAACCATACCTTAACCAAAGAAACAAACTCCAGTTATTCTTGACTGGAGTAAACATGTAAAGTGCAATTAATAACACTTTCAAAATAGGAAAAATATGGTTGCTTTTTCTCAAAAGATGGTTTTTTTTCAACGTAGGTTTAAATAATTCCTGAGGAGAAGACATATGGCTTCAACATGAAGTACCACTGTCAGGATGGATGCAATACTTAAAATGATGATGGCAGCATTTGATAGTTACTATTTCCAGAAACCACTTCCTATAATCCTTTATGCATGTATACAAAATGTTTTACCCATTTACTGTTTCAAATATTTAAACTGACTTTATAATCACCCTGTAGTTTTCAAATGAAAATCAATGATTACAGGAAAACTTACTTATCATCACAGAATTACTGGTTTTAATGCTATATTAGAATCATATTACTTATAGCAATTCAAAGAGAGGGCTTTACTGACAAATGCAATAAAAGTACCATTTTAACCAACCTTAGTTTGTTTACCAGCCAAGCTGCAAGAAAATAAATCTTTTTTTAATATTTTACCAACTTTTAAAAATTGATTTATTCTATTACTTTAATTGATTCTATGACATTTCTGTTAATTTTAGAATAGTATAAGATACAAAGAATGCATTAAGAACATTTCTGGTGTGTATTTTGTCACAGAAATATTGTCCCTCGATATATGGGGGTTCTGTCAAGGAGGTAATCACTTTTTTTTAGAGCAATACCCAGAACCAAAAAGTTTTAAATAGAGAAGTATATGTAAATTAGAGTATATGTGAATGTAACAAGGTCTTATATGTTGATTTAAGTTCAAAGCATGCATAAATATTTATGCTAATACAAGCAAAAATAAATAAAAATAATGTATTTAATGAACAACACTGATAAAATAAACAAACAATATAAGCATTAGACCTCTACAGTAGGACTTTTAGCCTTATGTACACTACTGAGCAATGAGACATTTGACTGATCTGTTGGGAATGGTTCATCAGTGTTAGGTGGGTGCACTTTCAATGAAATGAGTGCCTCTGAAATTCCATAGTATTCCAACAGCTCTAATAAACTGTCAAGTATCGTATCTTTGTATACCTTGGCCACACTTAATATCTAACCATTCATGTTGACAAATCAGTAGTGTTATTAATAACTCAGTTTTCATTTGGCAGTATGGTGCTGTTGGATTAAGTTTCCAAGCTTGTTGCCATATTAACAGAGCCAGTTTCATTACGTGCCATATCACTGACAAAAACTTCCCTATACTGCCCTCCATTGTTCATTACATTTTCATTTTGCTGCTTAATGCTATCCTGATAACTGATGAAAAATGTTTGCTTAACAAACAGTTGAGTCACATAGTCTTTGTCTCAGAAACTGATGGATGTTTTTACTTGTGGGTAGTCCTGCCTCTAACTGCACGAGCATCTGCTCAGCTCATTATTTGTGTGACTTACCAACTACATCATGATAAAAAAATAACTTGATTTCCTCTTTATAAAAACCAATATTTTTTCCCCATGCTTTGGATGCCAAGCCAATCCAAATGCAAATTTATCTTTTTTTTTTTTGAAAGTTCAAAATGTCAATTATACTAGCCAAATCAATATCATTACTTGATGTGAAAACTAGGGAGCTGATAGCATCTGTTTGCTTGTTAAATCGTAAATGGTTCTGGGGTTTTCATATTGCTCATATTTATTTGTGCATACCTTGAATTCACTAGTAAAGCCCATAATATATTTTTGACCAAAATACATGCATTTTGATGAAAAAAAAATCAATGACTGAAACTTTACTTGTTTTTTATTTTTTTGTGTTTGTACAAGTAATGTTAATAGTGTTGCAACTTGGCAAAAGCACAACTGATTTTCAACCTATAAGTTGATTTACACTGAGGATGCATATAATATTATTCTTGACTGGAGTATAAATGTAAAGTGCAATTAATAACACTTTCAAAATCGGAAAAATATGTATGCCTTTTCTCACAAAGTCGTTATTGAATTACTGCCAAAGATGGCTTTTTTTCACCAAAAAAAATAACAGATGTATCAAGGCAAAAAAGTCATGGCAGTTTATATCACTTGTAATAATAAGAAAACGTTTTGATAGCTATTCAATAATGTAAATAAAGACAATCCTTATTTATAATAAACACTATCAAATTCACAAGTCTCTTTACTCAATTAAAAATATTAACATGTTACTTATATGATACATTTAGCTTCTACTGGCTGTAAAGTGATACCTCAACATCAGGTATCTTATACTCAGTCCAAAGGGAATCTTCTACACCAAGTAGTTTTGCTTCAATAATATTCTTTGTTGAACTTTCCTCAATCAGGTCTTGAATGGCTGTAACAAAGAACCTACCAGTACCACAATTTTTCTGGCATTGTTCTCTTACTGGAAGGTGAACTATACATGATGAAAGAGCCACATCTGAAGATTGAATAGAGCTAGCTAAAATGTAAATTATGTTGTAATCACCATTAAACAAATCCCAATGATTAGCAGAGATCAAGATAAACTCACTATTTAGATACAAGTTTTATAAATAATACAGTTATCTAGAATAGATAAAAAATTTAGATATCTTTTACACCCATAATAAAAAAACTTATTAAATAAGAGGGATTATCACATACTATATCTTAACACTTATTACTTAGTTTATAAAGAAATATTGTAACTTATTCAAATAAAATTCACACTACTTGTTGATCTAATACTTGCACTAAAAATCACATTAGACTGTTAATATTTTTTCATCCATTCCTGCTAGCTCTTACTTAGACTACCAGGACTTTAAAATCACTCCAACAAATCACTGCCAAGAAAGCCTCTTGTTCAATGCCAGAACTCATTAGCTGGGCTAGATGATGAGAAACTAAATTTTACCAGAAATGTGACTTGTATATGTATTATTAAAAGTTAACATTTTCTTATACTGAAAATGTATTTCTGATAAGTACTTACCTCCTCTCACTCAAAGCTATCTCGACCCCGGATTGCCATATAAGCATTGTTAAATTTTTTTACAAATAGTGCACCAGTCTATTATACACCATCAGTTTCGTGCCATTTTAGAACATGTGTTGATCATCTTGCTACCCTCCACCAATCATACTGCACCATCTCTACTCTACTACTCTTGAACAATCCTCAGTTTCAAGAATTGGCAGGTACAAACCAGAAACACAGGCATATCAGGGGAGAGGGAGATGGGAATTGAGTGAGAGGAGGTAAGTACCTATCGAAAATACATGTTCAGTGTAAGAAAATGTTAACTTCCAAAATGGTCCTACCTCCTCTCACCCAAAGCTAGAACCCCACATTGCAAAGGTGGAGGGGCCAGTGAAGGCACATTAATATACAATCAAGCAGAAAGCGATTACACTAAGAGAACAGGTGTGCAAGAATATGAAAAGAAAGCCCACCCATGGGGTATAGCACTACTGGAATAGGTATGCTCTTTGCCCTGTAATTAACTCAGGAACAAAAAGAGGGTGGAACTGAATTGGCAGGCACCAATACATTCAGGAAAGAGAATACAGTACTGAATCAGTGTGAAAGTGCTGTAGAAACATGACTTAAAACAGTATGGCATTGACAAAAATGGAAAGTCCAGTGTGGAAGTGACACTGGGCCCGTATATGTATGTGCCAAGGATTGCATTGGAGTATATCAAGTGTGATCCATCGAGGCAAAACACTCAGTGGAAATGCTTGTGAGCTATAATATGGTGCCAGAGAAAAATGAAATAACTATACATGAAGGACCGTGAATTGTATATAAATAGGCCAAGTGCAGTCTGTCTAGGCAAGAAACATTCAGGGGATGTGCCTTGGGATATGTCAGATTATGCCAAGGATGATTTATCCAAACAAAAACATCTAGTAGAATCACCGTGCATAAGATTTAGAGATTAATAAGTGTGGTCTGCCTGGACAAATAAAATTCAGAGGAATTGCCTTGGATACATAATATTTATTATTTTGGCCAAGTTCAGTCCACCCAGGCAAAAAACATTCAGGGGAATCACCTTGGAATACATCAGATTATGCCAAGTGAGGTCCATCTGGGCAAAAAACATCCAGTGGAAGCACCTTGCATAAGATAGAGATCAACAAGTGCAGTCTGCCCAGGCAAAACCCTGGTGGTAGCATCTTGGATACATAGAATTGGGCTAAGTGTGGCCCACCCAAGCAAAAAACATCTAGGGGAAATGCCTTGAGTTACATCAGATTATGCCAAGTGTGGTCTACCCAGACAGAAAACATTTAGTGGAAGTGCCTTGCATAAGAAATTTTTTATCAGTAAGTGTAGTCTGCCCAGGCAAAAATATCTAGGAGAAATGCCTTATATATTGAATATTATTGTATAATTGATTGTTCAGTGCTGTAATGATTGTAACAACTATAGCCCTCTTCTCGCTGAGTGGGTACACATGGGTTAGAAAGCTTTATTTTGCTTTCCAAAATCCACTCAGGAGGAAACCTCCACAGCCCACCACTCCAGCGACTGGGAACCAGAAATGGTAAAGACTCCTATGCTCCACTAAAAGAGAAGGGGGCAAAGAATATGTGCTGGGGAGTACGAAGGAATGACACACTGGGGACAGTGCAATGGGTGTCTCTGATTCCCTATTTTGAAAAACAGATAGACCCCGACTGTAGAAATCACGGGTCAGTAGAAATGGCCAGAAATTCCCATCTGCTTTACTTATGAAGTCCATGAGTGAAGGTCCTTTATAAATGAAACTAGTTTTTAGTAAGAAAAATATAGATACACATACCACTGGACAAACTTTTGAGGTGGCTCTAGATAAAAGTTCAACTGCGACAGATCTATGAGGGACAACAGTTAGACGGGAGTAAAACTCAAGTTGAGTGCGTACCACCCAGACTAGGCATGATGATTGGAAGAGGTGTGATCCTGATGAGGAGAGAAGAAGATCTGGGAAGTGGATGGGGGGGAGCACAACTGAAGAAAGAAACCTTCAGACAGAACCCATAGAACCCACTGAACTGTTGTGAACTGTAGCCAAAAAACAGACACATTAGCTAAATATACTTAGAGAAAGTAATCATTACTAATGAACTGATAAAACCTAGAAATCTGTAGTGCATACAAAGTACATAAAAATAATGAACTTGCAAAACTATGAAATTCATGCTAAAACATAAAACAATAAGCAACATATAAAGTACAAAACAACTAAAGGAACTTAGAAGATAAACAACATGTAAATATCGAACTTACATGTCCACTCAAAAAACCAATACGACAAAGGACATGAAAGCAAAACCTACCCTGAAGAACATGAGAATAAAACGGCACCCAGTTAACAATAACAAAATTTTACTCAAATCTAATCTCCAATTAGATGTGATTAGTAGTAAAGGAAAAGGAACTTACAAACTAACTCACATGAACATTGAAGGGAAGTATAAATAATGAACCAACACACCCACAAAATTGGCTGAAGTTACATTACCAAAACAATAACTATTGTGCAAAACCTGTACATATACTAAAACTTAAACAAAAACAAAATAATAATCAAATGCTAAATGCAAATTTAAACTAAAGTAACTCAGATGGTAAAAGAATTATATAAAATCTAACTTACCAAATACTGAGCACAGAAGATATGAAAAACCTGAGAGTGAGGAATACGTGCTGAAAAACTTGCCACATATCTCCTGGGAAAAAGAACAACACCTAACCCAACAGATTACATGGAGGCATGGTAACAGGTGGAAAGTGCTGTAGAAAGAAATTTCCACTCAGTAGTTATATCCTTCCTAAAAAAAATCATAATGTGAAAGGAAAAAAATTGCTAGCCAAATGTAAGACACGAACTAAAGCCTGTATTTCCCCAGCAGACATCGTCGACCCTGAGACCTGGGGGCTCATGTCAGAACCACTGTTGACTGTTGCGGGAATTTCATCATCCCCCACATTAAACTCATTTGAACAAATTAGAATTCATAAAATAGAAATATTTCTAAACTGTTTGTTTTAAATTTTGCACAAAGCTACACATGAGCTATCTGTGCTGACTGTCCCTAATTTAGCAGTGAACGACTAGAAGGAAGGCAGGTAGTCATCACCACCCACCGCCAACTCTTGGGATACTCTGTTAGAAATGAATAGTGGGATTGATCTTCACATTATAATGCCCCCATGGCTGAAAGGTGGGCATGTTTGGTGGGACAGGATATCAAACCCTCAACCTGTAGATTGCGAGTTAAGTGCCCTAACCACCTGCCCATGCCTGACCAATATTTCTAAAACAAATGGTTAGAAACAATGGAAATCAAACACAACAAGTCAAACTTGAAGTTGAAACTGATATAAATTTTGATTTAAGCACAATCAAAATTTTGTAGTCACATGAAGTTAAAACACACGTCTATACACCAGAATGGCAATCAAGAAAGTGAGGATTGTTCTAGAATAGTAGAGAGAGCTAGCAGTAAAATAAATGGCCCAGTATGATTGGTGGAGGGTAGACACATGTTCTGAAATGGCTCAAAACTAATATGGTATAAAGAACTGGTGTGCTGTTAGCAAAAAACTTTAACAATGCTTAGAAGGCAGTCCAGGATCACAATAGCATTGGGTGAGATAAGGTAAAACCGTTTCGGACAAAATCTTATTTGAAACTTGTAACAGACAAACTAAGAGAAATGTGAAAAAAAGAACAATTGCAATATAATGTGGTTTTTATTACAAAAGTTATATTTATTGGCTTACAATTATACTTAACCAGCTTTCAGCATTCAGTTAGTATATTTTGTAAAATACAACTTTTCTTAGTTAATAACTAATTTAATTTAAATAGCAATACATTTATATTTAAATAATTTATACTAAATTATAAACAGCATTCGCTTAAGATCTTACAAAGCTTGTTTTGAAAGACAATTTTGTTATGTTTGCACATACAACTACATTCATCAGTGCAAAGAACAATATTATATTACAGAGATTGAACAAAGAACAATAAATATAAAATGTAGAAAATAAATGTTCATTCATGTTAGAAAAAAAGATGAAATATTTTGTTAACATGTATATGACAACTAGATCTGAATATATAGGAAAGAATACAAGTCACCTTGTTAAACAATACATAAATCGAAGAACATGTATATAACTTGCATAGTAAGACATTAATGTACTTACACATTGCTCTTGTTCTTAACTGAATCAGAAGCTTACAGCCTTTGTAGTCATGTTTTGTGCATCTGTATGGCAGTGAGGAAGTCAATGTTATGGGATGAAAACTTCCATTTTCTGATATGACAAGATTTTGAGGTTCTGCCTAGGAAACAGAAACTTAACTGTGTTAAAACACTATTTGTTTATGTCACTAAATTTAAATGAGAAAATATAAAGTAGATTAAAAGGATACTATATGATACACTTCTCCATTCTTCCTGAATCTTCAAAATGTAATACGTGTGTGAAATGAAATAAAACTTTCTCAAGGATTTAGTAGCACTTTCACAAAAGATTTCAAGATGTGAACATTTGCTAGTATATACAATACTAATGAATACAAAAATATTAATGTTTATTAATATCACACAGAAAATGCTCACACTCTATTTAGTCTTTGACATATTAACAACTGCCACACGAGCTAGCCCAGCATGTTTTACTACTGAGTCTAGGATGGTCAACAGGGGGGTCATTCCAGAGACTGAGGATAGAGGGTTATTTTGATCTCGATGAATGAAGCTAGGCACAATTTCTAAAATAAAAAATATATATCAACGAAATATAAAATGATGAAATCTGTATAGACATGGTACCATGGAGGTACCATACTGGGCATTATACCATCCTTCTAATATTTACTCTTCATTGCAGAAACAGCATTTTAAATTTGAGAATTGCTAGGAAAATCATCTGGTAATGCATCATGCATCTGCTTCAACTTCAACATTGCATCTTTGGGCTTTACTGTGCTGTTAGTTTCATAAACCATATTCTTATGTATGATTCCAATCCCCCGTTTTGAAGATAACGGTACTATTGCTGTCAATGCAATAATCAATTGACAAATTTCTGATGCAGATGGTACATCAAATTGATTGGGATATCTTTAAAGAAGTTCTTCCCTCATTTGACCTGTACCCATGGTTTAGCTTAGTCGCTACAATTAAACTATCATATTCACAACCACATCTAGAACATTTCAAGCATGTTTCATTACTACAGCATTTTACTTTACATTCACAAGTTAACTTCTCCATGTTGGCTCTCATGGTCTTGGGTCATGTCACAGGTCTGGTCCAGCTAACTAGACCTAAAAAATAGTACCAACTACCTTTCTTATGTCTAATCAAAACAACTCAAACCTTTCCAGAATGACTACAATTTTTGGATCTACATCAAGATGCTAGGCTGGCTCATGGAACAGTTGTAAAATAATTTATCGAAAAAGTATATTCTGAAGACAATAATGAATCCATCACCCATAAATTATTATATACTTCTATACTATCCCTCAGAAGTTCCTAGTAATAATAAACATATTCAAAAATTCATATATAACTTCAAACTTAGATCCTAAAACAGTTAGTATTCAAAATTTAAAAATTATGACAGTTAAATGTATGTACCCATACTAGCTTTGGTTACAGCAGTGTAAGCTTCTGGCAGAATAACATGTATTGATTCATTTCACTACAGAAGACATAGAAACTTGTACTATTTACAGAACCAAACACATATATTAACTACAATATCACATTAATATAATGTCATTAATTCTTTGATAATCTCCTGTCACCTACTGTTCCTTTTTTGTAAATCAACTATTAGTTATAAAGACGTTTATTACGTTAGAAAAACATGTAGGTTCAAGAAGTCTTGATAGAAATGAATAAAAACTCTATAACACAGTTCCAAGTTTGCCCCTGAAGAAGAAGGGTCCACCTTTCGAAAGCGCTTAGGTAATAGGGTTTTTATTCAGTTATAAAGACGTGATGTTCACAGCTGTAGCGCTAGAAATAGTATTTGTTAATGGAGAATTTTAAGCTAGAGAGAAGACAGCTAGTCAACAGCACCCACTGCCAACTCTTGGGTTACCCTTGTCTGAGTAAATAGCAAATCTTATAATTAATGCACCTACAACAGCAAAGTGCAGAGAGCATAATTTTTGTGTTGATGGAATGTGAATGTTGCAGATTCACAGTCCAGCACACAAATCACTAGGACACAACTATAAATCAAAAGAAGTAATTAACTCTTTATGTGAATAATTACTTAAGCTTCACTTTGAATATTGTGTAGAGTTTTTGTCTCTTTTAAGAAAGGATAGTGAAATAATAGAAAAGTGTTCAGGTAAGGGCTACTAGGATGACTCTGAGAGAGAAAGGATAATCTTATGGGGATAGGTTCAGATCTCTTAGGTTATGTTCTCTTGAGAAAAAATGGGTAATGTGATTTTATTGAAGCTTACAAGGTTATCTGGAGGACTGATAAGAGAATGGCCTGTAATTTTTTGTGCTGTATTTTAAAAATAACAGGGCATGTAACATGTGATTTTATTGAAGTTTACAAGGTTATTTGGAGTATTGATAATAGAATAGCCTGTGATTTTTTTGTGCTGTATGTTAAAGATAACAGGGCATGAGGACATAAGTTTATGAGTTGGAAAAGACAAGCTAGGCTCCAGTTAGGACAGTTATAATTTTCAATAAGTTCAACAACGCTACTTACTCTGATACCAAGGTAAAAAGGTTCACTTCTTAGTGATGAATTCCTTACACTTTTAGTATTTTTGTGTTGAAGTTTCACCATACATAACACCTTTATAAAAGATAGCAAAATATACATCAGTAACGTACATACAAACACGAGATAAATGCAGAGAGAAACACCTAGCGTTATTCATAAAACTAGTATATAAAAAACAGGTTATCACTTTAATATATCTAGTTCTTAAATATAAAAAGCATTCACAGTCTAATTATATGTTTGCATGCAATGCTAGACTTTCAGGCGATGACTCATGATTCCCCTTATACCATTTCTTAAAAAACTTCTATTATAAAACATTTGTAACATGAGTTATGGGAATGTGTAATACTGGTATCAACTTCCTTAGAGTAGTTATAAATCTTGTATATATTATAATCCAACTTTTAATAAATACAAAATGATTGAAAGACAATGTGCTATAATCCAACATAATCTATTTTTTTATTAGATTAATTTTGTCTTTATTTCAATGAAACTGACAGGGTTATTTCTAGATATGCATTCGCAAACCAGTACTTCCCCAGGAAGCAATCCTATTGTTTTTGCATCTCTAAGACAGTAGCAGAAAACATTAGAACTTATTAAACTGAAGCAAATGTAAGGGATTTGATTTCTTTCAGATTTCTATGAAAACTTGCTAAAGACTTAACTTGCTTTCACTTGTGCACATTGGATTTAAAAAATAAATAAATAAGCTTAAAAAATAAGGAAAAAATCATCATGTTTATATTAAATTTCATCACATTCACAATACTAGTATCTTTCTTTTTCTTTTCATATGCATTTTTTGCTAGTGGTCACAAAAGGGCATTGTCTATTATGAGCCGGGTCCAAATAGATCACTTGGCAGGGAATAAGCTCCAAATCACTAATGTGGGGTGAGAGTCTTGACTTTACACTCAACAAAAGATTTCCTAAACATCCTGAACATTATCATAATTTGAAACATCTACATACTGTATAATCATACACTTACACTATCCTTTGAACTACAAATAAACAAGCTACTGTATAAACAATAAAACTGGACTGAGCAGAAATCATCACCATTTCACCAAGATGAGCATGCTTCCCAACTACCAGTAACTCATCCTGCTTTGAAGTAGCTTGAAATGTTTGTAGGTGAATTCTTCTCTTGTTTTCTTCATCTAGTTTAAACCAACTTATCGAAACAAATTTATCCAATTCTGATGTCCTTCCAACACTGACACCATTGACATGTATGTCAAACTCACAAATTAGGACAATTTCTTGCTGAATCACTCTTGGTCTAATACGAGGTGGTCTAGATAAGCCAATAACAGTTTCTGCAGTAGTAAAATAATATCAAGCAATCAGTTAAATAGAGATCCTTTCACTATCAAGTCTATTTCCTATACTGCTTCAAAACTTAATATTTAGGAGATAATTCACACACTAATACTATTGGCTTACAAAACACAGTTGTTTAAAACAATAGGAGTGAAAAACAATCAAACTATGTAAATATATTGGCACATGTAATTTCCAGTATCAATTATACATGTATTCTAAATCACAAAATTACCTTAAAAATATTTTATAAAAGTTGGACTGGAACAAATTTCTTATACAAATACATTTTTACTGAAATTTAATATAGCTTAAACTATTCCGATATCTTTTCATCTGCCATATGTATTCAGATGTGTGTGTGTGTATGTCTACATATGTATAGACACACACACTTCTACAGATTTATATTTATATAGTTGATTTCCTCTTGCTACTAACAATCTGTTTGATCTATTCAAATATAACAGTACTACATAAGTTAAAAGACAGGTAAAAACACAAATCATGTTAAATGAGAGGAAGATACAAAAGCATAAAATGTCTAATTGTAAATAAGACTCTCACATGAATAGGACTGCACAATCTATCAAAGGCCTTCCAGTTGGTAAAGTACAAGTTAACCCAGACTAACCAAATAAAACAATGAAAAAATCTAGAGTACTTTCAGGTCAACTATATCTCAAAGCTAAAATGTCATCCTGCCCATAAACCACAGTGGGAATGGCAGTAACCCAAAGAAACTATATGTATTAAACATGTGTTATTTTCTTAAACTTAAACTAACTCCACGTTTACAATAAGGGTAATGTTAGCTCTTAAACTTAAAAGGATGAAGCAACCTATTTTGGATTTGACTTGGTTAATTCATTTATTTATTTCAAGCACCATTAGCTTTATTCAATGGCTGTTGTTGTTTGAGGAATTCCACTCCATCTGTCTCTAATTTTATAGTAATAAACTAGAGAGTAGGCAGCTAGTAAACAACACCAACTTGTAGGCTACTCTAATCAAATAATGGGATTTTATCATAACTTATAATGCAATCAAGTCCCTAAGTATATATGAGAATATGTTGTTTTTTTTTGTTAGCGGCAAATTTGGATGATGAAAACATTTACAGATGTACCATATTTTTTCCTTACATTTTTCAGTCTTTTATTACTTTCCTATGCAATTGTAGACAAAAATTCAGAAAAATAGAAAAACTTAAGATCAAATGAACTGTTAATTTTCCATGAGAGATTTAAATACCAAATGAAAAATTTTATAATAAGATAAAAATAATACACAAAATTATTGTATATCTACAAACTTTTATAGCAAAAGAATGAATTTAAATGGAAAGGTAAACTTTGCTCATGTGTAATAATTAGTTGCTTTGTAAGCCAAATTTTACAATAAAAATTACCATATAAATCACAATATCAATTAAAGTCTTATGGTCATATATATTGTATGATGAATTTTCTTCATCAAAATAATGTTTTTGAATGCATAATTCAATTTATATAAACTACTACTAAAGTATCTGCACTGACTGAGTGAACATTTTAAGATCATTCAAAAAGTAGCAAGTAAACACACATTATGTTTTGATATTGCAAAGTATTTTATGAAGTCTGTCTGCTTATATATAAGCTACATCATGATGAAGACTACCTCTAAGGCTATGAACTGAGGAAAGCTGAAACATATGAAGTATAATAGTTTTCAGATCCTGACTTGATAATAGTAATTACACCCAAGTGAGAAATCATCATGAACATGCTTAAGGAACTGTGTCATGGTTAAATAAGAAAACAAAAAAGAGGTTTTAGATTTCTCCTATACTGTACTTGCCAAAGTAACTATATGTATCAAAACAAGGCTTACCAGAAAGCTCTACTATCTCTGCACAGTAGGCCATGTGGCAGCCACGGGTTGGCCGTAAGTGATATACCAGGAAACTGCCACAGTTTTTAACTTTCAAAAAGTCTCTAAAAGTGCAACATCCAGATGACTGAGATCCAGGAATAACCCAAGTGGTACAATAATTTACTTGATGAACCTGACCAGCTTGGAGTGAAATGTTCATAGGCAGCCATATTGGTGCTTGAGTACCACAGTGATTCACCTTATAACCAAGAAATTGTATATGGATTATTTCCTTAAGTATGTTATTTCACTTATTCCTAATAATTATACATTTTTTGACAATTATTCTAGAGAGTAGTGAAAAATTAAATAGTTTTCCTTCACGAAATCATATGTATGAAGTTATTAACTCAGACCAACTGAGTTAGATGATAAACTCCACTAAAACATGAGCAGACATTTTAATTATTATTATAACATACCTCTGGACAAGATGTTGGTATACGAGCCATGGTTCCATTTATTTCAAACTTGTACCACCCATGTTCAAGAAACTTATCACAGATCAAACTACTGGGACTCTCAGCCTGGTAAAAAGGACTGCGCCTGTAATCATCCAGTATGTGATGACCACCTGGCAAACAAGGATCTGCAAATAAAAAAGAACACTAAACAACAAGAATGAGTGGATTACTTTTATTTTTATAAGCTGAGGTTAATTGCAGTTTTCAATAAGAATAATGCTAGTTTTTAAAATTTATAAGGATGGAGCAACCAATTATGATATTGACTTCAATCATTTCATGCATCATTAATTTTAGTCAGTGTATCCTGTATCTATGTTACAGAGAAAAAGATTTCCACTTTACTTGAGGGAGTCTTTAAAAATGAGATCTAATTTTATCTAAATTCACATGTTAACAGAGGTCATTCTGTTGTCAAACTTTTGAAGTTTAGTGGAATATCATTACTTTTATACATTTAAAGAGTGCGAGTCAGTTGAATATGGAAAAATTGCTTTAAATACAGTTTAATGTTTGAGTGTGAAGTATAAAAAACCTTGATAAAAAATCATATTTAAAAACTAAAACAGCTCTTATTATGTTTAGCAACATAGGTGATGAAATTTTATTAAATAGTAGCTTGGAGTCTTTCACTGTTAAATTTGATGTATTAATTAAAGTTAAAAATAAGAAAAGACTTATAATTAATACTTTCCAGAATGTGATTGAGAAGTTTCTTATGGTTCTTATGTGAATTTTTTTAACTTGTTAAGCAAACACAAGTCATGACTTGTATTGGAAATGTCTTTGAGCTATGCCCAGCTTTATCCTTCAAATGAAGATGTTTCAAACTATTAAATTTTACTACTACCTCTAGCAGTAAAGTGCAAACTATGATATAAAATAATGCTTAGGGACAACAAGCAAACTACAGGTCCACTAGGCTGTCCCATACTCTAAACCAGTGGTCGGCAACCTTTTTTGATCGCGGGTCAATTATATTTTTTTTGAAAAAT